ACAGACCTGCCCTAAACGGGTTTATATTTCAACGTCCCAGACGTCTGCCATTTGAGGAACCAAATACCACTTATTTTTGTCTGTCTCTTACTCAAGCGTTTATTTGGTTTCAAGCGACGTGACAAAACGGGTAGTTTCCAAAATGGACAAAGGAAGACATTAAAAAAAAACATTACAAGAAAGCTTTTGTAGCCGATTGATAAAACCCCCCCAACTCATTTTGGGAGAATTATAGATCTATGTACTTACAGTACAGTATTACGCAATTCAGACAGTAACAGCTCATAGAGTCTACTTTATCATTGCTTCAACCTAAATGCTGCTCCACTGTGCTGGATAGAGGGCTGGTCCACTCGTTCACCTTTGCTTTTTTCACGGCGAGTACAAAATATTTTGCTGAAGACAGCCAGAAGGAAGGAAACGTCAGCACAGCTCAGCAGCTTACGTATTTTCAAACGGCAAGCACAGGGGGAAAGCAAAGAGCACCAATGGCGAGCAACAACCGTGTCATATTCTCTGGTAAACAATCAAACAATCACACACTGCAGGGTACAAGCGTCCAAACAACAACTTCCTTTCAGGAAAGAAACACAACGGGGCAACAATAAACAGAGGCAGAAGCAATAAAAAAGTAAGAATAATCCCCCCTCCTTCCTCCCCAAGAAATCAAAATAATATTTAAAAAAATTCAAAGTCACATTGACGCTTGATATGACAGAATAAGGACTTCCAAAAGAAGAAGAAGAATATCAAAATAATAGCCACTGCATCTTCGTTTTTCTACAGAAGACGCATTTCGACGATAAAAACTTTTATTTTCCGAACATCAGTGCAAGAAGACCAAGTACAAGAGAAATATTCCAAGCAGTAACAAGTAAAAAGCTGCTTTTCTGCTTCAAGCTGACATCTACCCCGACCTTTCGCCTGTCAGCAGTTTTTCAACGGCTAATGGGCTACAGTGACACCAGTCCCCCCCCCTCCCTTCCCATCTTCTTGTGCCAGGAACACAACAGCAGGCCATTAGATTGACAGATGGCTAGAAACGTGTAAGGGCTAGCGAACATTAGCTCTCGTATACTCATGGTACCTTAGGTAGAACTCTAAGCCTACTTGAGTGTATGTACGAGGGACGCAGCCTCTGTGATGGAGTGATTATGCTTTTTGCCATAACACGCAACCCCCTCAAACAAACAAACAAACAAACCAAAAAAAATCCCAACCCAAAACAAATCCAACAACAACTCTTTTCCTGCAACAAAAACAACAACAACAACAACAAAAACAAACAGAAAAAATACACCCCCTCCCACCCCCCAAAAAACCCCCAAACAACAAAACAAAATAACCCCCACAAAAAAAACTGACCAGATGAAAACAAAAACACTACCACCACCACCACCACCACCACCACCAACAACAACAACAAAACAACCAAAACCCCCAACCCAATTCAATTTAGATTCCCGCTTGGTGAAGCGTATCCGTCTGTTTGCTACGACACCACACTCTCCCCAGCCCTGGGATGGCGCTGACAAGCAGGGTCGAAAGTCGAAGCAGCCCGCCTCATATTCGACGGGAAGGCAAAGGGCCCTGTCTGGCACATACGGAAAGAAGTGGATATCGACAGGGTACCCGTGAGTATTCTTCTTGGCACCCCCCCCCCCACCTTAAACAAAAAACGGCATACTATTAAGACTTTGACGCACTGAGGTGTCAAGCGTGAAGTGTGAAAGCCCACTTATAGTTAAATATGGATCGTCAGACGGGGCTTCATATCAATTCTACTTTTATGTATTAAATAATATATAGTTTCTGTTTGTCTTTTGTTATTCCACACCACATTAAGGTCGTTGCCGTGTTGGTGAGCTTTATTAAAAGTCAAACAATCCGGAGATATATAATTCAATTGGAATGATCAATGAAACAAATGCCATAATGTCCGATTCACTATACAATATAAGAGCTGAAAGTGACTTTTTTAAAGCGCAAAGCGAATGAACAATATACTTTGAACAGATTTATGTAATATGCATCTTTTTGACACGGTAGATGAGGTTAAATTAATACAATCACACCAATGTTACATGTTGCTAAGCTTCCATTTTTCAGTTTCAAAATTAAACGTGTTTTACAATCTATGAACAATTAAAAAAAAAAGACTAACAGGCTTCAGCAGAATATAGGTTCATACTTTTTGTTTCGAACAATATTGTTTCATATAACTATACATGACCCTCGCTTCTTTTACTTTCAACATAAATCCATGTAATTCCACTCTTCAAAACCGAGGTAGAATTGGAATATTTGTTTTCGAAATGTTTGCAAGTAAATAAAAACCCAAAGTACACGTTTCTTTGGACCGAGTGCAAAGCAATATAATATTCTAGATTCTTGAAGGTTTTATATTTCCAAAGGCAAAGCGAAGGCCAAAAATCTCTCATAATAACCAAGAGTCACAAACGTGGATCTGAAGCATAAGGTTGAATTTGAGGTGCCTATGCCTTCGATCTGACGTATCATGTGTTAAACAAGACCGTCTGTTCTTCCCCCACGGACTAGCACACACGTGTTACTTCCTTTCATTTGGCTGACGTGCTCTGAGCGTTCATACACCTGCGCCACACCTTTTTATTTGGCTTCGACTAGATTATGTCAGATGCGAAAGCGAAACAGACAACGTCGACATATACGTCATGGGCTAAAGCTAGAGGACCATGCAGCGGAAAATGATAGACGTTTATCCGCAAACCAAATCTACACGATTGCACATCTTCAAATGTGGATCTACCCTAGCGAAAAAGATGGCATTTTGCTTAAAGATGTTTCCCGAAGGGCATAGCCTCCAAAACTCTCCGGCTTTGTCAACGTCGTAAAATATGGAAACTTACAAATAGCAGGGGCTTCATGAAATGGGAAGATGTACGCTGGGTTTTATAGGTGGATAACCGCCACGGAAAACGTGAAGACTCTCAGATCATCCAAAAACATCCAGAGAAGCATGACTGGCCTACAAAGCCAGCAGGCTTTTGTTCTCCCGGTTTGTTTGTTTGAGTAAAGAGAAGCACATCGACACAATTGGTGATTTCGTGGCGGGAAAAGTAAGCCAAAGAGACAAAAACAACAGAGGGAAAGTATAGAAGTAGGACCTAACAATGGCGCTCTCCAAGTAGGTTTCTGAATAGCTTTAAAAATAAAAGGAGAAAGTAAAGCAAAAAAACCAACCAACCCCCCCCCCACCCAAAGAAAAACCAAACAAAAATAAATAACACGCAAACAAACAATGGAAACGTTAACGGAAAGGACTACGAGAAATTAAAAAAGTTCTTGGAATATTTAATATTTGTGGACATAGACGAAACAAAAAGCCCTCAGAAGTCACTGTCTACATGAAAAAAAAGGAAAATAACAGAGATGGCAATTTCCGTCAGTAGAGGAAAAGAAAAAGACAACAAACAGATTCAAGAAGACCTGGTCCTCTTCTGGAGTGGAGTGGCCACAAAAAGCAAATTCAACAGATGACGTTAGCTCGATGCCTCCTGAAACGGAGTCCATTTTGGATGATCCATCAAGTTTCGAGGCAAAGGAAACCACGATATCTCTAACAGCATCCACGCTGACGCACCGCAACGCTCATACGGAAACACAGAAGGATGAATTCTTCCAAAAGATGGCAGATAGATGGCCGGTAAGTCTCAAACACTGATGACCTGATCGTCACGGGAGACTTCAAAGAAAGAGTGGCCATGGGAAGAGCGCCTGGGCCCACACGGGGACTATAGAAAGCGTCTACCTCAGCAGAGTATGGGCATTAGATTAGCAATACCTTCAACAAAAACAGTAGTCAGGTTCAAACATAGCACAGATAGAATGATCTGGGTGTGTAGTCACAGATTTCATTTTGATGCGCATAAAGCATTTTCAAAGGAGCAGGCTTCCAAACGTAGAGGGTCTAATATCTTCAAAGGGGATGGGAGAGAAATTGTTCTGAATTGTCAGTTTCCACGTTCTAAAGGGAGTGAACAGTTAAAAATATGCAGCAAGGCATGAATATTAGGACGAGATGCACGAGGAAGTAGAAAAATCATGTTTTTACTGCGATTATAAAGGATGGGCTACAGAAGAAAAAATCTCACAAACCATCAAAATTGCAGAATGGACTAGGCTGGACACACACAAAACGATGCTGTGTAAAAAGAACTCTTTTTATCTCTGCAGTAAACTAGAACCGGGAACTTTATTACAAAGACATCCATATTATCTTTATTTCCGGTCATGTCAAATGTGCCGTCTTGAGGTTTTATTAAGAATTTTCTTGCTGTTTCTTTCCTGGGAACTATGGTCTGTATTATGCACTCTATTTCAAGAGGCATAAAGAACCTAAACAATTTTGACAGTTTCAAAGACAGACCCTGGAAGAAATGGAAGAACCCTTGGTCTTATGAAGCTATTCAGAGAAGTCTGGGTACGTGTACTTTTGCATTTCTGAGCATAACAGAACTTAACAGAGAGTAAAGGAAAGTTACCTGACTGTGTTAAATGTAAGTAAAATTACGTATATCCTGGCCAAGAGTTTTTTGTGTTAAAAAAAATAATCGGCCAATACACTGATGCACACGCGCGCACGGACACACATGCACACTCACACATATATAAACACGTACACACACACATTTTTACTGGTACGTTTAACGTTTCTGGGTTATAATAGTGTCGGTTTTCTTTCCAGTGAAAGGAGCTTCAATGTGAACAGGGAATAAAACATAATACTTAATTTGATTAAGAAAGTGGCTCTTGAGTTTTTGAATGATGACGTAAGCGTATAAAGAAAGCAAAGTACAGAACTGCTTTTTCCCTCACCATTCGACGAATGATATCAACCAATGAAATCTTTGATATAAAATAACCCCCCCCCCCCACCCCGAAAAGAAACAAACAAAAAAGCTTGAAAGAAAATAAAGAAACCCAAACAAACAAAAAACAAAACAAACAAACAAACTTACAAGAGGATTGATTACACTTGAGAAGCCGTCCTTGTCTTTTTTAATGGTGACATACGTGGCGTACAGAAAGTAGGGAAAAGCCATCATGATGAAGCAGGCCAGCACGATGAACATAGTGATGGTCACTTTCTTCTGTTGAGACAAGATCACATCCTCCTCCACAGTGGTGTGGTTCCTCAGTCGGGTGGAATGCTCTTTGATAGCGGAGAACATACGTGAATAGCAGAAGACCAGGATTCTGTAGGAAATAGACATATAACTCAATCGTCAGTTTGCTTGTTTGAGTAAAGAGAAGCAAATCTGCACAATAATGGTCATTTAGTTGTTTGGGGTTTCTTTTTGCTTGAGTATGTGTTTTATGACACTTGAAACGCAATTAAGTCTTATAAATACCTAGGATTACAGGTGCTACACGATAGTAACAAACACAAAAAAACAAGGAGAGATAAGGACCTGAGCACCAGCCAACCACCCACATGGTCATGTAGTGGGGGGGGGGGGTAAGACAGACAGACAGACAGACAGACAGACAGACAGACAGACAGACAGACAGACAGACAGACAGACAGACAGGCAGACAGACAGGAAGGCAGATAGACAGACAGATAGACAGACAGACACGCAGACAGACAGACAGGCAGACACAACAGATGGCAAATAAAGAAGAGGACATACCAGTGGCGCCCTCTGACCGACCGCAAATGATCGTCACAGTTTTTGAAAACCAGAAAAAGGTTGTAGGAAAGGCTCAATACAAAGAAATTATACTCAATACAACTTAAACATTAAAGGAACAAAGCAGCGCAGTCAATGCCTGTCACATCAGCCAGGGGTATGGGAGGAAGGGAGAGCGGGAAAGGGGGGGGGGGACTCAGGCGCTAAACAGGTAAGATGTTCGCCTGTCAACCTGGAGGTCTAGAGTTCGATTCCGGCCTGCCTCACGATTTTCTCATGTTTTGTACACCCCAATGATCCTAAGACAGGTTGGATCGAGCACATAAGCTTCCCAGATAAGGATACACTATTTCGTAGGTCCCCTATTGAAGTTGCCCTCGTTAAACATCCCTTGGCGTTTCTAAAATCGAAACGGGTAGACCCAGCAGGCCGCCTTCCAGGCAAATATCAAACTTGATTCCTTCTAAAAATGGACTATTTTGATCAGTAGAAAGAACAACAACAATAATAGTAATAATAACAACCATTAACAACGCACACACACACAAACACACACACACACACACACACACACACACACACACACACACACACACACATACACACATACACAACTCCCGGACCCCGTACACATTCTCACATACATCATTTACCGGCAGAGGATAGCGTTAAACAAAATTCAATGTGCCTGCCTGCCTGCCTGCCTGCCTGCCTGCCTGCCTGCCTGCCTGCCTGCCTGCCTGCCTGCCTGCCTGTCTGTCTGTCTGTCTGTCTGTCTGTCTGTCTGTCTGTCTGTCTGTCTGTGATACATATTTCTTTTGGGAGGGAATTCCGAACATCAAAAATACCTTGGAAAACGTGGCTGTCTCTTAGAAAGAGGATGATTCTACGCTCTATGGAGATAAACAGTAATGTTCGTAAAAATCAACTGTGTCATTAAGGTATAAAGGTCAGTTACCCCTTGAGCTCTAGCACGGATAGCACAAGAAGAAAAAGTAGGATACGGCGACCCAGCAAAAAGACGCAAATGTGTATAAAATAGACGTCCCAGCACAGAGATAAATTTTTTTGGGTAATTGTTTTACGGCATTCGCAACCGCATAAGGTCATATGAGAGCACGGGACACACCAAACATTTTCAGTTGGTAGGAAATTTGGAATTTTGCTCGGGTGGCGGCCGAAGCCTACTCTTTTTGATTTTGGATCACCAAGGGATCTTTAACGTTCACAATTTGCACAAGGGACCTCCGAGATGTTTCGCCCTTGTCCGAGAATGCTAGGTGTAGATCTTACCTACCATAAGATCAGGGGTGTGGCTGAAAGACAGCGGTAACAAGGAGCCAAGGAGAAGCAGTAGCAAGGCGGCAAAAAGAGTCAGGAGCCCAGAGGAGGGGGCAAAGGAGGTGAGGGGGTGGGGGCAGAAAGTGGAGACGAAAGTAGATTACAGAGCATTGTTGGAGAGCAGGAAAAGATGTGATAGAAGAAAATTTGAGAGAAGAAAATTTTCCGTCACTATCCAGATTCAAACCAGGGACCTATTGAATGAGAGGCGAACACTTTAACTTCTAGGCCACGAGAACCCCCAGGGATCAAGTTTTAATATCTGCTTAACGCGGTTACACAACCACCATGACCATCATAATAAAAAAGAGAAGATGGAGGTGGATTGGACATGTTCTGAGAAGAGAACCAGACTCTATTGTGAAGACTGCCCTCCACTGGACATCCGAAGGACGTCGCAAAAGGGGCAGACCCAAAGTGACCTGGAGACGCACAGTAGAGTCCGAAATAAAGTCCTGGAATCATTCGTGGGGAACGTACACAAAGATGGCCCAAAACAGACAGAGCTGGAGATCCTTTGTTGCTGCCCTAAACGCCAGATGGCGTAATGGGTAGTAAGTAAGTAAACGGTTACACAAAGAATCTAAACATTACTTCACCAACTATATCAGTCAATGGTCGAAAATATGGTCATAATAGTAAAGAGATTCATACTACTACTGCAGCAGCATGCTGGTAGAGAGAGGGCATTACAGGTCGAAAGTTGTTCTTTTTGGAAGGAATGCAAGCAGTACAAAGAAAGAAAAAAGAAAAGAAAACACAAGATTGGAGATTAAAATGAAAGCGTACAAAACGAAAGAAACAAACCCACTGATTAAATTTCCCGATGATGGTGTTTTATCTCATCTCTATACCGGAAGGCAGCCCGGAAGCGGGCAAACAATCTTAAACAAACTCCTTGACAGAGGTACAGAATACCTGCTTCTGCATATTCAGTTTTCTGGAAGCCAAAAGCATAGTGAAACAGTTCTTGTCATGTCATTTGTACGCGTGTGCACGTGCGCTAGTGTGTGTGTGGGGGGGGGGGGGGGAGGGGGGGGCGTGTGTGTGTGTGTGTGTTTGTGTGTGTCTCTCTCTCTCTCTCTCTCTCTCTCTCTCTCTCTGTGCACCTGTGAGTGCATAATAAGCATGGTAGAGACAGTTGGAGAGAGAGAGAGAGAGAGAGAGAGAGAGAGAGAGAGAGAGAGAGAGAGAGGGGGGGGGGGTTGTGTGGATGGTCGATATTTCATTTCCGTTCAGTTTGAGCATAAACAGACAAACAAATATCGTAAAATGGGATGGGATGGATTGCACAAAGCTGAGATTGTCATCAATGTTGAGGTGAAATAAATAGCCCGACAATTTTTTTGTGTATGTTCGGTGGAGGTGTAAAAACAAAACACCCCTACCCCAACAAAAAAGCAAAAAACAAAAACAACAACTCCAAAACAAAACAAATACAGTGTTTGATCAAAACATTTAAAACTTCGGCAAGAACTTAGATTACACTTCTTTTCTCTTGGTCCAAGATATAGGGACTGAATAAATCTACTCCTTTAAATTTCAAATATTTATCCAACTTCGGGTGGGTTTGCACACACCGGCAAACATATTCAGACACTGGTGGGTTTTCACAAAGCTATCTTATTTTGTGGCAACAACTTTTAGACGGAACTAAATAAATAATTAACGTCTTACTTTCCATGAAATTGCTAAAACTATAGGCACATAATCGCATTAGAAGTAGGGTAGGCCTACCCACTTAAAAATTTCAACTCACACGAACAAATCTAACATTGAAATTGATGGTCTCATCTGAGACAGTAATCACACTTCTATTTGATTCTGGTGAAAATCAAAAAAGAAAGCAGAGTTGAATTAAATCCTTTAAAGAAAACTACCATAAAAAGGGTAATACATCTAAGAGTATATATTCTTATTCACCTAGCATAGTTACCCAGGTGTGCATTATTAACTCGTGTTACCGTATAGCTTGCACTCTGCAATGTCGCACAGGACAAACAGTGAGTATTCTTGAAAGAAGTTGTCACTCACTACAATTAAGGCTTTTCACTTGGTTTCAAATTTTAAAAAATAAGATGTTTATACTGAACCGTTTGTAAGTGCCCACTTTGTTTTTAATCAAGCCACAATAAAAAATTGTATTCATAAAACAAAGTATTTTGCATAGAAATATAAACAAAGACGTGTCACGGAGAACATGTACTGAAACGATGTGAAAATATACGGGTCACCAAGACAGATGCCAGGATAGATAACCCAACGGACACAGATGCCGTTACAAGCGTCTGGTGTGTACATTACCCACGTGCACAAACATACCGACACATACATACACACGTACCCACTCATACATATACACTGTTACATACATGCATAAAAAACACATGCACACATATTCTTTCGTATGCACATACAAAGTAACACACGTACGCATGTGAAAGACGACACACGTACATACCTCCCCCCCAACCATATCAAACAAACACACACAAACGCACACGCACGCACACACATACACACACGCACGTCAACACATACGCACACAAAAAGCACACTCACACACACGCTTTCGTTGAAAAATAACACTTGTAATAATACAGTGTGTAACAGAATGGTTTAGCTGAACTTGACACGAACAATCTGTGAGCGAAGTTGTCATTCAACAAAATAATTGGAAGAAAAAAAAAAGAACAAAAACATCTCACAGAACCTTAATGTTGAATGCCAACTACGCACAAAAGCAATGACTTTTTCAAAACTTCACCAACCCCCTCCCGCACAAACCAAAAACAAAAGTATTACAAATACTCACAGGAAGGGCATTATGAGATCACTGATCTGTATAATGCCGTGTATGACGAAGGTCTGTAGATCGTTGGGGTACTTTGGGCCGCACTGCGACGTACCCCTCTTATACTCCACCACCAGCCCCGCCACGACCAGAATGGAGCAGACAATAGCCCATACCCAGGCGGCGGCCATCATCGCTAGAATCATTTTGAGCTTTAGGGGGTTTCTAAGCGGGCGTACAATAGAGAAGTACTTGTGTATTCCTATGTACATGAGCGTGTGAAACGACGTCACCAGGCATAAACACGTCAAAAAGCCGTTGAGCTTGCAGACAAAGTCGTTAAATATCCAGGCGCCTTTGATGAGGGTGATGATGGAGAAGGGCATGACCAAGACTCCTACGAATAAATCCGCTACTGCTAAGTTCACGAGGAAGAGATTCGTGCGAGTGCGCATACCTCTGTGACGTATAATAACTGTGAGCACCATGGAGTTCCCTACGACGTTGACGAGAGCAGAGATGGACATGATGGTTGCTAAAGTCACAGAAAATTCGAAACTCCATTTGGGAGTACTGGAATCACCTGTGCTGTTCAGGGTTAAGTTGTCAAGGCCGCTTCCAGGAATGTAGTCTGTTAGATTGGCCATCTCTGTTGCTGGGAGTATTGAGCACAACAGCAGAATGTGTGGAAAGCGAACGCTGAAGCCTGGGCTCACTGAATAGGGTGTAGTGAGCGTCGCACAATTCGAAGGAACGATAACTGCGTGCCCACAGTCTGAAGATTTTTAAAGTGAGTACAAATTGAGGTGGGGATGCTGACGTAGCTCTTGTCAAAACACAAAAGCGGCGACGTGTTACGTGCGTGTCGACTTGAGAGAAAGACAAAAGACGTAGAGGGAAATATAGGCTTAATTTGTTCTGAATTATTATATGACTTCGTATGCTGTTGGAAGCAGACCGGAATAGATTGTCTCTACTGAAGGGATTTGAATTCTCTCAGGATAGAGATTACCAGCAAACAAAACCCCAGACTAGAGGGGAGACTGGTGTATGAACGTGGTGATAATATTTGTACACAAATACTTTCGTAAAATGTCAGAGGATAAGATTATTGAAATATTGTCTTGCTGACCGAATGGAATATTGCACTGTAAGAGGGCTTTTGTTGAGGTTTTTGTTAGTTCAGAGATGAAGTTCAGTGACTGGCGTTTCTAACATCACGCACCGAGAAAGAGGGGGGGGGGGGCGGTTCGTGTGCAAACCCACACGAATTGGTGTATGGAAGTGTTCTTGTAGAGAGAATCAGCATCATGGGGCATGACGCTGACGTTTATAGTGTGCTTTAGCCTGTTGCTGAGAGAATGGTAAAAAGGATAGAGCTACACAAATTTTAAAAGTTTTTTTTCTGTACATCTGAGCGCGTTGGAGAGTGCGATTTGTAGGGAGACGGGAGACTAAGAGAGTCTTATCTCCCGCCACTGGGTCCAGTCATGGTCACAGTCCACCACCGCTGTCAGTGACGCCAGGTAGTCCAACCCTGCAAAATAAATAAAAGAATAGTTTCATTTGAAAACCGGCAACTGTGATGCTTTCCAAGTTTATAAGAAAGGAAAACAGAGAGATACAAAAAATATAAACAGCGAGGAAGAGATGGAGAAAAAATGATGGGAGACAAAGGCGTAGAATAAAGGAGGTTGAGGGCTGACAAGCCAGATCCAATGTTCATGAGTCCACAGCCAAGGAGAGAAAAGGTTCTCACTAAGATACTAAACTGTTGTAAAAGGAGAATATTTTGTTTTGTAGTCAATGTGTTTTGGTAAATGTGTTATGGCGCTCGCAACTGCATACGGTCACACAAGCGCCTAGTCAAGGTGTTGCTTTCAATCATCTCGTTTCAACAGTCCAAGGTTCCAGGAATCTAGGTACCTCATAATTATTGACAATGATAATTTACGCCTCAAGTAATTTTTCTTCGAGCAAAGATAAGCTCATTCATACAATAATGGTAATTTAGTGCTGGGAAACAGTAAGACAGACACACAAAAACAACAGAGGGAAAGTAAAGAAGCAAGACCTGCCAGTGGCGCCCTCCAGCCACCCGCACCTCAAGTAAACGTGACAAACAATGAGCAAGACAATAGATACGCCATTTACGCCTTGACCGAAAGGCTGAACAATCTACTCAGACAGACTGGGAGAGAGGAAGTTTTGACAGAAGCATCATCGAGCTGTTATTACTGGCCTCATGTTTTATGCATTGCGTTTGTGAGCCCAACACCAAAAGAGCGAGAGAAAATCATTGGGGTGTCATTAACGCAATCTTCTCTCCTGTAGGAGACGGTAAAGTGGACACAATTGCGCGTTATTTCGGTATTCTCGGGAAACCCACAAAACAATAATTATACGCGAGGAAGTGTCCCACTTTCACGCATACATGGACAAACAGACCACCGGACTTAACTAGGCTTACAAAACAACATGCGTATTAAATCTCCTACCTAAATCAGCTTTAAAAATCTTGAACGAATGAAGCGTAGGCCAACCCACTCAATGCTAACGAAAGCTCAAGCGCGCGTGCGCCCTGCCC